ATTGCATAGTGTTCTGGCCGTGGGATCAAACCAAAATCCTTTTCCATTATCCCAAGAATTCGGAGTCCTTCAGATTCTAAACCTGAGTGGCTACAAGCTGATAAGACCCCGAGAAATGTCACGTCATTTGGTCTCAAATTTGCTTGTATCATCTTCACAAAGATAGAGAGTGATGCCTCTCCATCTCCATTTTGAGCAAAACCTGTGATTATTGAATTCCAAGTGACAATATCTTTTTTATGGAATATTTCAAATAATCTCATTGCAGATGTCATGTCTCCACACTTACAGTACATATCAATCAATGCATTGATTACAAATACATTACCAAAGTCATGGCTACTTCCATATTTAAGGACATGGCAATGGATTTGTTTCCCTTTTTCAGTAAGAGCTAAATCAGCACAAGCACTTAATACACCAACGTATGTGATATCATTGGGGAGCACACCCTCGTTCTGCATTTCGACAAATAGGGACAAAGCTCTTTCACCCTCCCCGTTTTGAGTGAAGCCTGCAATCAAAGCTGTCCAAGAAACTACATTCTTAGCCGGCATTTGACTGAAAATCCGACAAGCATCTTCTAGTCTAGACCTGAAAACATAAGCAACAACCACAGAAGTCCATGACACGATATCTTTCTCTTCCATTTGACGAAAAACCAAGTAAGAACGCTCAGGCTCACCACATTTCCCATAAGCATCAATCAATGCATTGCAAACTACAAGATTAAAATGCAAACCAACTGCAATAGCAACCCCATGAACTTGACGCAATAATGCCAATGCAGCCAAGCTAGCACATGTATTCGTTAAACCAACGATGGTATACTCATCCATCCAGAGCACATCTCTATGTAGATTTTGCATTCTTCTAAATACACTTATTGCTTCTTTATAAAACCCACGTAAAGTTAAGCTTGAAAGGATGGAATTATGGCTCACAAGATTTGGTCCTGGCATTTCTTCGAGCAATTGACGGGCATCATTAAACCGAGCCATTTGGGAATACGCAGATATAAGTGAGTTCCACGAATGTTGGTTCTTGAATTGGAGCTCATTAAACACTTTCTGAGCAGAGTCAATAGAATTGCATTTGGAATACATTTGTATGAGGCGATTGGTCAGAAATGTGTTGAAAATGAGAGCTGATTTTATCAAATGCGAGTGCAAAGCTCCTCCCAGCTTCAGGTTCTTGATTTTAATGCACTTTGAGAAGAGGGTTGTATATTGGGTTTGGGATTCAGCACTTGAGATTAACGCAGATTCACTTGACTGCATGAGACTTGGTTAATCTGGGTTTTGGACTTCACAGCCACAGGGACCAAATGCTACAAAAATTAAAATTTGGAATATAAATTTTTTTTTTTTATTTTAAAGTTACTTTTCAAGTATAAAAGGAGCGTTTTGATGCAAAAATCCAGAAAAGAAAACAGAGCGTTTGGTTTGCTTATTAGTAACTTAAAAATTTCAGATAAAATCAAACTTCAATTTTAATTTATTGGTATCTATTACTCTGAACCAGTGTTACTCTCTTTGGACCCTTCCAATGACCTAGTAAGCTAACTTACGGCTTGTTAGTCCCGAGAACGAGGGTACATCCATCTTTAGATTTAAACAGCATAACATAATTGACTCGATTTTAACCATCTGTGTCCACGAAACCTAATTGGAGACTTGAGCTCAACACAATTTGTCCTAAACTTGAATCATGCTACGAGAGTTAAGTGGGGGGTGAGCCTCTAGCCGGCTCGACTCGCCCCAATAGCTAGCCGAGCAGCAATTTAACTTCTCAAACAGCTAGTCGACTTCTCAAGTTGAGAGAAATATGTCATTTTAATAAATTATATATATATATATACAGAAATGATCTAATGAGCACCGGTGCTCATCTTAT